TAATTTCTTTTTTTTTTGGCAGACATTTTTAATGTCTTTCATTTGAAATGCTCAAGTCAAACAAAAAGGGGTACATGCACTGCACAATCATCTGTACAGAGTGATGTAGTGTTTTTGCCCCGTGGGCAAGAGTCAAGTCACGAGGCCCCGCACCACCAGCTAGCCATATGGGCATCAAGACCTGCAGGAAACCAACCAGTCACCCAAGAAAAACATGCATGGATGGCCCAAAACCACAGCACTCCAGGGCACAGGACAGAAGAGAGGAGCCATTCTTCCTTGTGAAGGACTTAAATAAACACAAGCATCAAGAAGCACCAAGTCAGACCTGAGAAAAGGTGGAATGCAAGTAAAAAAATAAAAAAAAAAGGAGTACATGAGTATGAGAGTGACATTTTTTTTTAGCTCAAATGAGACGAAAACAGGAGGATGAGAGTGATAAAGACAGACAGAGAGAGAGATGGCTGTTGTGTCTTGACAATAACGCTAATTAACTTGCCCGTGTTGGGGGATGCCATTGATTGGAATGCAATTCCGCTGGACTCATTGATCTCAACCTTCCTCTCCCTCCTTCTCTCTGCATGCAAGCGGGTGTATATGTGTTCACAAAAGAAAGCGCAATTGTCCTTTTTCCTGCTGGAAATGTGGATTTGTGGTGCAGCAGGAATGGGAAGTTAATTAAATGTACAGGATCAGTGTTCTGCTTTGATTCTGTACTGGACTTTAAGTACACTGATGCATTACAGATGGTAATACTGCAGTGTTTTGATATATTTATCATACTAAATTAGTTGTGACAATATACTAGTATTGATGATAACCTTGATATGTAAAAAGATTTATATATATATATATAAAACCCAGCAGCGATAACTATCCAGTTAACACTCCAATTTAGTAGTTGGAGGTATTGGACGCTTATGCTGGATTCACCCATCATAAAACGGAAACACCCGAAAAAAAAAGTTAAAAAGAGAAAAAAGACAGGATTTTAGACCTCCCAGTCTTCCCGCGCCTCCCAACACTTGCATTTTGAGCATGATTCATTTCATTGTAGGGAAAATCTGATATTGTGTAGAGCCCTATACTGAATATTTATACTCATTTATATGGTACTCCAAAGTACTTGAAAGAATACCATGGTATTACTATGGCAAATTTCCCAAAAATGTTTACTTTTGTTGTTTAAGTGCTGTATGTCTGATTCACTGAGCTCTGTTTACATAAAGTGACAAACCAACACATTAATAATATGTACAGAAGTAAATAAAAAGGGTTTGAAATGAAACATTATACACTGATTAACTGATTTCTTATTGTATTCTATGAATTTTGATAATTTAATCCTCTTGGTAGTCAAAAACTCACCACACAAAACACGTTGAGGTCGGCACAAACCGCTTATCCTTGTTGTAAGTGAACATACAGTATTTGCAAACATGTTAGCATCTGGCTAATTAGCCTAGCTTCTACAGAAGAGTTTGACTGGACAAATGGCCTTTAAACTATACGTCAATAACTATAGACAGATATTTTCCCTACCCTTAAAAAAGTTAACAAGCCTAACTGGCTATCCTATCTAAACACAACACATTTATTTGCATTTTATTTTATTAACTGCATTTAGCATTTTTGCTTTTTTTCCCCTCAGAACAACCCTGACATTTTTGAGTCACACCACAATAGTTAACACACATACCTATTGCATATATAGAGACCTCCGCGGGACGGATTTTTCAGTCCCGCTCCCGCCCGTTCCCGCAAGATTCTGTCCCGCGCCCGCCCGCTCCCGCAAAAATACGTTGGGTCCCGCGGTACTCCCGCGGGAGTGCAGGTCTCTACTACGCACCCGAACAGAATAATTCATATGAAAGGTAATTCATATAATTCTCACAGGAACGGAGGATTTACACAAAGTCTATAATTTGCAGAGTTCATTTGTGTTTGTCATACACAAAATATACAGTAGAGAGTCCTCGTAGATCAAAAGCAGCCCAGAGCTGCACACCAGAACTGTCTTCTCTCACACACACACACACACACACAGGCAGCTTGACTTCATCATTTTGCCAGTCATTTCTGCGCTCCGTGACAACAGTCTCCAATAACAAACTACTACCGATAAAATATTTGTTATTTAGACTAAGCATCAACATTCACAAGTTCAACCACTGTTATTTTTTACGGAAAGCAAGCATGGGCTGCTGCGTGCATGGTTTGGCATGGCAGAATGCGAGCAGCACGCTTCCTTTATTATCACAAAAAGCTGACATCTCAGTTAATCGCGATCTCATAAAGCTCTGTTATAACACTAAATATATGCACAATGAATCTTTCACAGTGTCTAAAATGAGAGGATTCGTGAGCACGCAATTTCAGCACTGCGGTGAGTAGATTCTAACTTAATCACCTCTGATTGGCCATTGCGTTCCAGAAATCAACAGCTGAGTCTGTGATTGGCTACATTATAAATGGAAACTATGTCTAGCTTGCGCGCTAATCATTTTAATGTTAATATTAGTTGTTCTTTTTGCTTTAGTGCAACAGATAAATAACAATTTATATGTTTTAGACACTTTATGTTTAGATAATTTCTATTTTGCGGGAGTCCCGCGAATCATTTTATTCTCCCGCATCCCGCACACACACGAGTCTCTTCCAGCCCGCACCCGCACTCGCCCATCAAGAGTTGTCCCGCGCCGCACCCTGTTGCGTTGGGTCCCGCGGTACTCCCGCGGGAGTGCAGGTCTCTACTACGCACCCGAACAGAATAATTCATATGAAAGGTAATTCATATAATTCTCACAGGAACGGAGGATTTACACAAAGTCTATAATTTGCAGAGTTCATTTGTGTTTGTCATACACAAAATATACAGTAGAGAGTCCTCGTAGATCAAAAGCAGCCCAGAGCTGCACACCAGAACTGTCTTCTCTCACACACACACACACACACACAGGCAGCTTGACTTCATCATTTTGCCAGTCATTTCTGCGCTCCGTGACAACAGTCTCCATGTGTTTGTCTGCTCTCAGCCCGTGATCCGACACCTTCCTTTGACAGAGAGACAGAGTGGAGGATGAAGAGAGAGCGATTGTTGTATGAGGGAGTGCAATTAAAAATTAATGCGCACAAAACTGCTAGTATGAGCCGCGGCGGGGACAAAGCCCCAGTGACAGGTAGCTATTTGGCTGTACATGGGGCTAGTGGAAAGAAAGGCAAAAAAGTAGAGGGATGAAGAGAAGAGATGGGCGCTCTCTGTAAATTGACTTTTTTTGTTCTGCTTTATCCTCCTCTTTTTCCTCTTTTTGGTGAGTGCCTGATAACAGGTCTGGAAGATAGCGAGAGGGTGACAGTCCTTGATGACATACAGGAACAAGAGCACACGTCCACACACACACAGACACGCACAATCATACTACACACACATACACATGCAAATTAACTCCAGTTTTTAATTTAGAGGTCTGAATATGCACAAAAGCGACACACAGACCAAATCACAACAGATCACAGGTCTTAACATCCCCCATACACACACATACACAGACTCCTACAGCAGCATTGGCCCAAGGGCGCAAAACCCTGCTCTGTCTCTATATGCCCAGTTGACCTTCAGCTTGCCGCTGTGTGATCGATAAGCCTCTCTTCCCTCTTCTGCCTCTTGAATGTAAAAACAGGAAATCAAAGGCTTGTGTACCGCCTTGAGTGCAAATCAAAAAGTGGCCCTTGCTTCTCTGTCATATGGCCAAAGTGAGAGAGAGTGGGAGAAGAGAGAGAGAGAGAGAGAGAGAAAGGGGGGCTCACGTAAACATGTGACGTTTCTTCAGGCAATAGTAGGCCATCACCTCTTCAGAAGGCCAGACACCTGAAAGAAAGAGAGAGAGCAGTTAGAAAAAGTGTATGAAGTGTGCTGGTACTTACTAGTGCACCATACTGCCGAGTTTGTTTACAGTACCAGGAATACTACACAGTTTTCACTATCACGTTACATTTAGTGCACATTACATTTTTTTTTAAAGGGACAGTTCACCCAAAATTATGTCATTAATTACTCACCCTCATGTCGTTCCAAACCTGTAACACTTTTGTTCATCTTCGGAACACAAATTAAGATATTTGTTTATGAATTCCGAGAGCTCTCTGAATTAATGACAGAATTTTCATTTTTGGGAGAACTATCCCTTTAAGGCTCCATTTATTTGATCAAAAATACAGTAAAAACAGTAATATTGCGAAATATTTTTACAATATAAATTAAAAGTTTCTATTTTAATATATATATTTTTTAAATATAATTAATTTCTGTGATGGCAAAGCTGAATTTTCAGCAGTCATTAATGCAGTCTTCATCATGATCTTCATCATCCTTGATCATTCTAATATGCTGATTTGTTGCTCAAGAAACATTTCTTATTATTATCAATGTTGAAAATAGTTGCACTGCTTAATGTTTTTGTCAAAACTGTCATATATTCTTTGATGAATTGAAAATTCAAAAGAACAGCATTTATTTAAAATAAAATCTTTTGTAACACTTTTGAACATTATATTCATTAGTTTTATTCAACATTTAGTTTTTTTCACCAGATTAACATTTGTTTAGTGTGTTAAATTAGTTATATAATATAATAAATAATATTTTATTAAAATAAATGTAATTGTATACATTGTATACACAAAAGTATAACCGTCACATTTTAGCTCACATTTCCTTGAATAACGGGTGAGAGAGATACTTTAATGTATAGATGGCCAGATCATATAAAAAACACTGAAACTTACTATGATACATTATTCAACAAAGACTAAATAGAAACATTCAATTTATTACATACCACAACCTCACACAAGGACACTACAAGCCTACAGTGTCTCACTCTCTTTTACACTGGCGCTTTCTCTCTGTTCATGAAGAACGCTCCCTGCTCGCTACAGTTCGCTTCCAACACACACACAGACACACACAGAGACACAAGATTCTGGCTACTTAGGCTTGTAAGCTGTGCACAGAGTGAGTGGGGGTCCAGCGAACGATTATCACAAGAAGCAGGCTGGTGGTCTTATCACCCACTGTCAGCCTCTGCTCCTTCTGCTAGCTCCAGCAAGAGCCATAAAGCTGCTATTGTCTCTCAGACACATACACACACACATGCAGCTGAGGAAAACAGTCATTTCAATAAACTTAGGCCCCTGAGCTGTCTGCCTTTGATGGGAGCTCTTATGTGTTTGGATTTGTGTGTGTAACTTTACTTTCGTTTGCAACATATCTTCGTGTAGAAATGTGTGAAGTGTTTTAAAAGAAAGAAGAAAGAAAACAGTGTTTTTGGTGTGTGAACGCTGGGTCATTCTAAGAAACGCTTGTACCTTTCTGTAAGATTTTAAACATTCTGTCAGACAAAAAATGCGTTTAAATATTAAAAACTTAAGTGTGACTCAAGTTTAAAGGGATAGTTCACCCACCAATAAACATTCTGTCATCATTTACTCACCCTCATGCCATTTCAAATATGTAAGACTTATTTTCTTCTGTGGAACACAAAATAAGTTTTTACCATTGACATCCAACTGTATGGATAAAAATCCATATGCAGCATTAAAATATCTTTATGAAACCTTTATGAAAAATTCATTTTCAGTTAAATTTTTAAGGAATCTATGCCTTTGATTTACAGATAATGTCATAATTTCTATATATATATATATTTTTTTTTTTTCTCATTCCCAGCATTATGATACAAGGTCCTTCTTATGAGAATTTAATATCAATATTTGCACAAATATACACTTTTTAATTATCACAAGATTGAAGGTAACAGGGTTGACATTTTAACAGCATCCCCTACTGATAAACATAGGGAATGTAGGATAAAATTATAAAAAGAAGTGACTTTAAATTGTGACCTGAAAGGATCCATGTCTGTAAAATGAAAAAATGAATATGTCATTATGACAGATTTTTTTTTTTTATGCAAGAGTTTATTACTGAAAAAGGGAAAAATATTACAGTAACAGAGTTCAAGTGCAACCTAACTTTTCATAAATTCAAGATTTTTTTAAATGATACATAATATCAACTAAAATAAAAACATAGTAATAATAATAATGATGATGATGATGATGATGGTGATGATAATAGTAATAATAGAGAGAGAGGAAAATGTCAAAATGCTAGCATTTATTTCAATTTAGTTATTACTAAAAAAGATAATTATGGATAAAACAGCAAGCAGCATAACATTATGCATAGCATAACATCATTATGCTGAAAGAAAAGGAAGAAAAAAAATCAAATAAAATGAATGGATTTATCAAAAACTATTCTGTTCTATATATAACTATTCTGTTGTCCCTAAAGTTATTTTTCACATATGAGTATGAGGGACACCAATGGTGCTGTTTTGCAGGATGACCCCGCTAATGTTTTTTGTTCAGTGCATGCAAGAACGACAGAAATGCAGGCGGTTAGATAGAGAGGGTGAGAAAATGTGTGTGTGAGCGTTTGTAAGACAGAGTCGATATAATAAGCAGCTTATGACCTGCCTTTCAGGAAGGCCTGTTAAAGCCTGTCTCTCTCAACCTCTCTGCACCATCAGCTTGAGATTAACTCACCCAAGCAAGATTTAATAATGTCTATTGATAAAACGTCAACATATGCCTCTGCCATTAAAAGGCGGCAGCACCTGCTTTCTATTTCACTTGCTGATGAACCATATGACATTTTGAGAGGCTAGTGTAAGATTTATCACATAAGGATTGTAGCTAGACAGAAAAAAAACAACTTATGACACTTAAAGGTCACAACAACAACTTCGAGACTCATCTAGGAGGCCCTTGTAATCTCTGAAGTCCCAGCATCCTCTATGACTTATATGACTGGAAATGTAAAAATCCAATAACTGTGAGTTACAATAAACTGAGTTTGAATGATGGGCTAAATCTTATCGCTCTGCATTTTGATAAAACTAGAACTATGCTCAAGAAAAGTGTAATAGAGGCTTGCGGTGTCTTCATTTATTAACTGCTGTACTGTTACATACATTAAAGTACATTTCTAGCAAAAGCGTTTGAGGTTTCTTAAATAAACTCTCAAGAGTACAAATGGCTTAATGACATTCTCATAAGTTAGACGTTTTTAAAAATGACATTTGAAATGGATTGATTCAGCAATTGTGCAAATGGTGAGATAACACAGGGGCTGCTTAATAAGGGCAGGCGTTTCTCTGCTTTTAGAGGTCTTTTCAATAATGATACGCTGAGATACAATTATGGCTATAGGTGGATTTCTTTCCCTACTCTCAGCTGAAGTACACCATGAAGAAATACACTATTCCTTTAAAACCGTTCCTTATTTTTATTCACTGTGTGCTGAATAGCAAATCTTCGCAAACACAGTTGATGTGCAGAAAAATTGCCGTAAATGTGCAACAAATCTTACGTGTAAAAAAAACAAAAAAACAAAGAAATCTCTTCTTGTGAAGCTGCTTTGAAGCGGTCAAAAGTGCTATACAAATAAGCATGACTATGAAACACTATGTTATGCAACAATTATCTGATAATACATAACCATAACACCACAATACATTTCTGGTAATATTCCGTAAATATTTAGGCACAGTTTATAATTATTTCCAGGAATATTCAGTTTGGCACACCTAAACATTCAGAAATTAGACACATTTTGTCAGCGTATCGAATGTGCAGGTTTTTGCTTAATGTTTTTGTCAAGACATCAATAGTTTTTTGTGTTGTCCATTTACGAATTTGCATGCAGTCATATAAAATGGGTTTGTATAATGAGATTATTTTTATAGTTTTGTTGACCATGTAAATATGCACTACTATTCAAAAGTTTGGCATAAGATTTTTTTTTTTATTATTCGGCAAGCACACCCTAAATTGATCAAAAGTGTAAAAGCTATTCTTTTGAACTTTCTATTAATCAACGAATAATGAAAAATCACAGTTTCCACAAAAGTATTTAGAATATAAAAACTGGTTTAACACTAGAACCGCCAGAGGTCGCTGTATACCTAAAAGCGCCAGCGGGTAAATTTTACCCACACACATGACAACTGTATTTCTATGGCTAAAGAACATATTATTTCACTGTATTATGCCACTGTCTTCACAAAGAAGTGTCTAGAGTCATGAAATGATTATGTCTAGTCATCAACTATATTTTTATCCTGTTGTT